AGTACAGCCCGTCCAGGAGGCAGCCTTCTGTGAACTGACAGAAAAGACAGCTGACAGGTTCCAAACCCCGAAGCTGGCCCCTGCCTCTCCCCACATTTGGACAGCCATCCTTCGTGTGGTCAGTGTGCCGGATGCAGTTTTGTGTGCCTGATGTCTGTGCTGGGACTCCTGACTGACATGGGTGTGGCTCATAAATATATGGCCACCGTTAATCTTACTTCCCCTCCCACATCACCACAACTCCAGAGCAAAGAGGTGAGAGCGTCGATTGCCTTTATACAGGTTCTTTTTTTCTTTTTTTTCTATCAATTTGCTTCAGGTACAGCCATCGGGCCCCATCCTGCTCTTTGCCATGTGGCCTTTATTGTCATGGAACGGTGAGTGTCAGAAGTTTGGTGTTTGCACAAAAGGCTCTTTGTCTACAGAGAACAGATTACAGCCACTTCTCCACGTGTTACTGGGGCATCCAAAGGGCCCCGCCACACTGAGCTAGGGAAAGGTCAGCACTGAGCAACTCTAGGTTTTAATGTCGTACGAAAAGGTTGCAGTGGACTAGTTTTCTCTGAAACCAAGAGCTCTGAACTCAGGGTTTGGTAAGGATGTTGCATATTATTTCTCCAGCGAGAAACGATAATTTCCTTTTATACTTCCTCTCCAGTTTTCCTAGATCCTGAGCACCGCATCGTCATGATCTGTACCCATGATAACTAGCTACTCTAAAGGATTTCTGAGTGCTTTATTAGAAATAACTAAATATACCTGACACTTGGGCTTACTCATTGCCCTGCGTGATCGTCTGCTAGTTGGAGCTTACAAATGAGAAGAGACTGGGCTGAACTCTACAGTATCGGGCCTTCGAAATAATGCGCCCGTGTCTTATTAGGAGCTGGGGACATGTGCCACTGTCAACAAAGACACAAGTCACAAAAAGTAAAGCAGTAATGATAGCCAAACTGCGTACTTGGGATTTGTGTCGTGGGACATCCTCAGTCATTGTTTACAGAATCGTGAATGACTTCTGAGTCATTCATCTGAGTCATGAATGAACAATAATCTAGAATGAAGCAGCAGCAGTCATAATAATAATAATAATAGTAAATAATAGTAATAATAATAAATTCAAGTCTTTTCTTCTCTAGCCATGCGACTACACGCAGGAAAGCACCCGGAACCTCTCCCTTGCCTTGTTTACAAACTGGACACATGGTATTCCCATATGCTTGATGAGATCACGACAGGAATGAAATAAAGGTGTAAAACATTCAGTTCTGTGCAGTGTTTTCCATGTTCTCAACAAAGACTGAAAGGAATGGTAATTCTAAATATCTTAACTCACACCTCCTGCCGATGATACTCGTGGGTTGAGCTGATGACACTAAGGAAATACGTTTCAGACGCCAGGAAGTGCTTCCGTCAGTCTGTGCATACCTTCCAGAAGTCCTCCATGGAGGACAGCGTTCTAAAGGTGGTCTTCTCTGTGTCAGACACTGGGGTGTCTATGAAGAGCCTCGACAGAGCTCGGCTGTAATGGTACACGTTGGCACTCATCATCCCATAGGTCACTGGAACAGAAAGGACCAGGTGAGCAACACAGGGAAGGAGCTGGGCCATCAGAGGACCCCAAACTCCAACCTGCCTGAACCCCAGCCGAGAAGGGAGGTGCTGCCTGGGCATCCTGGTGCCCACACACTTCTCCTCCTCGGCTCTGCTCGCCACAGGCCAAGCATCTTGAAGACATTCCCAGGAGAGCTGGAAACAGTGCACTCACAGATGCACAGGACGATGAGGAAGCAGAGGTAGGTGAGCAGCTCCCGCAGCACACTTTTCAGGTACTTCTCGCGGTCAGCGCTGCTCGCCTCCATCAGCCGCGTTCCCCAGAGACCTTGAAAATACGAAAACACACAAAGCACAGTCACCTCTCTTCAGAAACGTCATGGGCGGCAAAACGGCGTTAATGGGAAAGCCAGTTCTCACATGTAAACATGGACACATAAGAATATGTGCGTGTGTAAACCGCGTGTGACTCAGAGGTGATTGAGTGGGGATACCTTTCATTTAGTACGCACTATGGCCCATCCCCCTCAAGAGAAGGAAATCCAAGGCAACCCAGCCCTTTCCAGAACTTCAGGACCATCAACCAGCATCTTTAAGGGTTTAGGAGGAAGAGCTACGAGGACGGAGCAGTTGTGCCCAGCACATGTCCTGCTTTGTAAAGGACACACCCTGGACCTCCGACTCCGCCAGGGTAAGCAGATGGTGTGACTGCCTCAGGACAGCCACCTCTGAGGTCACCGCGGTGCAAAACTCAAGCCATTTCGACTTGGAAACATCTGCTTCAAGCATAGAGCAGAAAGGCCTCTCTGTGCCCACTCTTGTCCTATGAGAAACACAACTGACTACACTTAGCCTGCTAAAGTGTAACGGGCTTTTAAAGCGCCAATCGGGCGTTCTGAAATTAACAGCAACAGCTCCCTCAGCTCCTCTGTCTTTCTTCTGGGAAAAGCTACGACCAGCAACCGGGTCTATATTTTAGCAGATGGAAAGTGTGGGTCTGGGAAGTAAGGATGACGTAATCCCCAGACAGCCTGCTGCAGAGTTAGCAGTTCGGGGTTCAGTCAGCAGGCAGCATGGTGATGATCCAAGCCCCCAGCTAACGAACAGTGTGGTCAAGTCACACTGCTGGTTCCTGGGCAGAGCCTTAATCCCTTCCCACAAATACTAACTTCCCGATCCTTCCAGTTAGAGCAGGTTAGCTATTAACAGGCAGGAACCTGGCTCCAACATGTTACCTCTGGTGTCACTCTAGACCTTACCCCCTTCATTAACCTAAGCGCAACACACACCTGAGCCACAAGCAGGCCACAGGGAGAAAAGGGAACAGTGTATGGTCCTTCACTTCAAGGAAATGAGCTCATCACTAACGCTGATGTGCTTTTAGGCCTTTTAACAATATGGGAGCTCCAGCTATTAAACTGGGATGTTTCCTTTTCCTCTTCTTCCTCTAAAAAAATCAGCATGTGAACTCAAGGGCACTGTGTTACACATTACAGGTTTCAGCACTCAGAAAGCTGGACACAGTTTACGAGCAGGTCTGCTGCTGCCAAGGTCTGGTAGCTGTCAGGGAGTTACTCATGCCGAAGAAATGCAGGAAGAGGAACATTTGTTCATTGAAACTCTATCACATTAAAGAACTTCTACAAACTTAGATGACATGGAAAATTACAACTTGGGATAAGGCGGCTGCCGCCGCCACCGAGGACCAGGCTCAGCAGCCCAGGGTATGTCCACACGTTTGGGTAAAGTTCTGGAGGCAGTTACAGTATGCACACACAGACTGCTTTTCTCTAGCATCTTTACTGCTGTGTGGTCGGTGATTTTACTCTTCCCAATGGTTCACAGACAGCTAAGGAAGAGAAAAAGGAAGGAAGAGGAAAAATTTCATACAAATGCTATTCTCCAAGCTTTAAATAGGAACAGACAAATACGATGTTGGATTTTTCCCAAGCCAAATTTGCAGTGAATTACAGCAACTTAATTCAAGCCCTGAGGAGGAAATGAAAAGAAACAGCCCTCCTTTCGTTGTTTCTATATGCTATTATGTATTGACTTTTTCCAAAGTAGGAAACCTACCTCCTAAATCTCCACCATCTTTAAATTAAACACTGGGTGTATACAGAGGTCTGCCTCAGCGTCCTGTTGCACACTACTTCTTGTGTTCATGAGTTCACAGGCAGGCGTACTTTAAGGTACACAACAGACATATGGCTCAGATTCACATGTCCCAAATGAAAACTTTTTTTTTTTTCTCTAGAAACGTCTTCCTATTTGAGCAAATGGCATCAAACCAGAAACTTGGGGCTCATCTGAACATTAGCCCTACTCTTCTCCCTCTCCCTATGGAGTTGGTTCCGTGATTATTTTGTTCTGAGACACGATCTTACTATGTAGCTCAGTCTGACCCTGGGCTTTGAATGCTTCTCCTGCCTCTGCCTCCCGAGCACTGGGAACACAGAACACACCACCGCCCCAAGCTGGATTCTGTAGCTCCGACGCTTCTCCTTTATGTAGGCCCAGAGCATCACAGCCTGGATACCGAATTACAGTTTGGGTCCCCTTTTTTCATCGGCTCTCTCTCGACCCACTCTCTGCATCTCTCCATTCTCCAGCCTGGCGCACAATTATGCTCGCATTGTCTGAGGTCTCTATAACTCCAAAAACCTACAGGAAAATGTGCCAGTTCCCTAATGCAGCGTTCAGGCGTGCTTACCTTTGTTCACGCTCACTGTCCTCCGCCCCCAGTAGCTCACTTTGAATCCCTATGGAGACCTTCGGTAACTCCTCAGGTAGAGACAGCTCACCCTTTTCCTGAGTTCCTCCCATACCCAAGACGAGGCACTGTAATTACTTGTTTCCAGCTGTTTCACCCGGTAGATTAGAATTTGAGCAGCTTGAAATTTGGGACATTGCGTTACCCATCTATGCATTCCTGGGACTTATCTCAGAGAGGAGGCTCAGCACGTTTACTGACTCCATGAACTGTGCTGCCAGAGGAATTCCATCACGACTGACAAGCACTGGAGGGCAAAGACAGCAATGAAAATGAAAACTCGTTTATTCAGAAGTCTGGTGCAGATGAAAAGAAGAAAGAGAAAGAGCAAATAGGAGGAGGTGTGAATTAGATACAGGGAAATTCTGTCTATGTGGAGGCACAGACACACAGAGGCCAGGGGACAGCCTCAGGAGCCTCCTTAGTCACTGTCCACCTCGGTTTCTGAGACAGTCCCTCTCCCTGGCTTGAACTTGCCAACTGAGCTAGACACTTCTGTCATGGCTTCCCTTGTGGTAGAATTGCAAGGACACATCAACACCACACTCAGCTTTGTAAATATGGGCTCTTGGGCTCAAACTTAGGATCTTGCTATCTCCTGAGTCCAAGGGAAAGTTCCAGTAGCCAAATGTGAAGGGTGAAAAGAGAGAAAGTAAAGAAAAGCAAAGGAATATCTCCTCCTCTCACTGGGTTGTGGGGACTTTCTCCTCATCAGCTAGGGCTGAAGGGCAAGCCCAGCCCTCAGACATGCTTGTGAAGACTCCCATGAGCTGCGAAGCCTTGTTTCCTGCCCCAGTCATGACTGGAAGCTGGGAGTCCCTTGGTCTCTACCAGACAGACTAAGCCAAATGAGCCGAATTCACTGCCAGTATCGAGGAGGAAGACTCTGGCTAGCCTTCAGGCTCAGGAGAGTTATACTTGTCCTGCGTGGCCACCACAGACAAAATATGTCCACACCCAAGAGGACATGAGCCACAGTGGCACCTGTGAGGGAAGGGGTCCGCACCCCTCTTTCTTTCTGGCTAAGCCATGGCTCTGCTCCTTAGGGAGGTTGCCAGAAAGGTCTTTCTGGAGTGGAAACTGATATACAGGCAAGAGAGAACACCCGAAAGGGTCACCGAAGACAAGTCCCCTGGGAGGGCAGCCTGCCCATCAGCTCAGCTGTGTCTCTGAGCCGTGTTCCACACAGGACGCTGCGGGGCAGGGAGTGAGGGAGAGCGGACGGTGGGTGCTGGACAGTGATGCCACACTCTGCACTGGCTGAAGCATCCAGACTGAAAGTCCCCGGGCGCCTTGTTCTGGGAGACCCTGTCTCCAACAAGTAAAGTGTGCATGTGCGTGTGTGAGTATCATCGAAATACACTGTACAGATGTAAGAAATTCTCACATACTATAAAAACACTGTATTTAAGTTAAAAACCCATGCCCATCAAGTAACAAATGGATAAACAAAATTACCGCACATACACAGTGGCACGATCATCTGTAGGAACAGAGGCTGGGTGCACTCGGCTTCAGGGAGGAGCCTGGAAAACAGGCTGCGTGAACAAGCCACACACAACAGGGCAAGTTCTGGTCCCACTTGTGGTGGCTTTGTATGTGATGATGAAAAAGTCTGGGAAAAGAACAGTTACATAGAACCGCGCAGCTGTCAATGTATCTATACACACATAACTGTGGTTAAAACGTGACTGTGATCTTGCACATACTTCAGTACAATTTTAAAGGAAAATCGGGCTCTGCCACTTTAGCTAGAGTAAGAATTTGGATACACCGAGTAGCTGGCGTGGTTAATCCTAAGCGCCCTGATGAATCGATATTTTTTAAGTAGAAACATCTGGCTCAAGTTAGGTACGAGTATGGCAGGTATTTGTCACAGTAAGTGCAGCTCTGGGCTCTGAAGCCTGTACTGAAATCCCAGTTCCGATGCTTAATGGAAGTCATTTAAGCTATAAAAGCTTCTCTTCCCTCATTGGGAAGATGGTGGTGAGGACAGCTTCTAATACAGGGGCCACCCGGAGAATAAGACAAACGAGGACCACAAAGAAGGCTTCAAGAGAGCTGAGCACACTGAGCAACTCACTGTCACCTCACGGGTTAGGGCAAGGGTTCTCAGCCTCTATCCTCCTGACATGCTGGATGGGATGGTGGGCTTCAGTCGGGGCGAGGCTGCCCCGGGGAACTGTTCTTGCCTTCTATCTGGTAAACGGTAGGTGCACTCCTCCCGCTCCTGGGGTTGTAAAAGCCAACGCATACATCTAAAAGTTCCCCTCCGCCCACCTGAAAACATCATGTAACGCCGTGCTGGCGACAGTGACGGAGCAAGAATGGATCTGAAGAATCAAATCAGTCCCTTCAAGTGGATGGTCAAGCACTGCAGCTAAGGATGGAGGGTCTGATAGTTATCACTTTGGCGAGGTGCTATTTGGCACAGCCAAGCTCAGGCCTTTGTGGCCCTCAGTAACCTTTCTGATAACTGAATGCCCCCTGTAGACGGCAAAAGGGAAGGCAGGAGAAAAGCAAGCCACTTGCCAAAAATAAGAGGAGTCCTTTCGTTCCTTTGGGCCCCAGCAATATGTGACGGAAATTGCCAAGTGAGGACAAAAATCCATTTCTCCCCTGCTGGAGGTGGCTACACTACCCTCCTCAGCCTCCCTGACGGTACCATTGCCTATGTGAATTATGAACTTGCCAAGGCAGCAGGAGTCAAGGCCATGAGGGTCATTTCCAAGATGATGCCTGTGGCACGGTCATCCAGTCGTTCACCCTTTGCTTCCGCTGGCCAGGCTTTTCAGCAGCTCTTCACTGGTGGCCTCCTCCCACCTCATCTGCCTGGCTGTCGTTTGCCTGGAAGTTGTCTCCCTGCCTTGGTATCTCCATCCAGAAATGATCCAGGACACCAAGCTGTAGAGCACTGTTCTTTCAGGCTCTGCGGCAGCTAAGAAGCCTTCAACTGCTTCTCAATATTTAGAGATGCATTTTAATTCCCCAGTTGGATGCAGTGTACCCCAGAACTAGTTCTTCAACCCTGAGCACCCAGTGCTGAGAGGGTGAGTATACGCTGTCCACAGGGCAGGGAACACCCCTCACTGTGTAACTGGTTAGGGTTAGGGTTAGGTAGAAAGGGTGCTGTAGACCAAGCCCAGTGTTTTCCCTTTATAAACGAGACCCTGAGGCCTAGGACGTCTGAATGAGGGGAAGCTCCTGACCACTCCACATTTCAGGAGTTCCCCTTAAGAATCTCCAAAGTAAGGGGAACACGGACTATTTCTAACAGGATCTCAAGGGCAGGCTGTTTGACACCCCCCCCCCCCCAGGGGAGGAGCAGTCTGTTAGGCCACAGAGGAGGACTTTGCAGCCAGCCCTGAAGATACCTGATAAAACAGGGTCAAATGAAAGGGGAGGAGGTCCTCTCCTATCAGTGGACTTGGAAAGGGGCAGGGAGGAGACCAGGGAGGGAGTGTGGGGTTCGGGAGGGAATGAGGGAGCGGGATACAGCTGGGACACAGAGTTAACAAAATGTAACTAAAAAGAAAAATAAAATTTAAAAAAAAAAAGAATCTCCGTTACCTGTGAACATAGCAAAAGTCACTTTCTGTTCTGATCCTCGGGACTATTTACATGATACACACAGTTTCTGTGATTGCTATCCCAGAAGCCAGAAGGAAAAAAATCATGTCTCGTTCTCTGATGTGATTTTACATTTCTGGGCTCTGTCCTTTGGAAAACGGGGATAGGTCACTGTAGCTTGTTTTGTCTTATAGCTGCTACAGTATCCCCACTTCATAGCAAGTGCTAAATATTTAATACATGTGATTATTTAATAAGCCACAAGAATGCCAACTGCATTACTTCATAACAGATAGGAAATGTTTTTAAAATTTTCTATAATAAAAGTCTGCTTTCTTGTGAATTATACCCGTGATGGGCATCATTATTATTATTACAGACAAGAGTTGATTAGATATTACTGCAGGAACACAGAGTTGCAGAGTGCAAGACCCTGGGAAGGGACTCAGCTCCCATGCCTCTGCAGTGCCCCGCTCTTCCCAGACATCTCCAGAGCTCCCACTGATGAAGTCTGTCTCATTGTGAGTTTACTGAGATTCTTCTCTAAAAGAAATAAACATATATATGTATATATGTGCACCCCAATATAAAATGCTACATTTTATTTCATTGTGTCCCATTATTGAGTTCAAAGTTAAGTATGTTACCAAATGCCCATATGACTCTGCATTATCTGTAACAAGAAGCTTGTGCCTCACTTCAGTGAACAGTTTTAGAAGCACATCTTACACAGTTTAAAATATCAATGTTTCATACGGTTCTAGCATTAAGGAAGCATTAGCACTTTCCTGTTCTTTAAAGTTACTCCAAAGGATGCTGTTTTTCACAGTGCCCTGAACCACATTAACTAGTGCACACATGGAAAAGCAGTGTCAAAATATACTTCTTGGTCACTTGTAAGAGCAAGCACATCACAGCAGGGATCTGCTGCCCATTTTCATTGTCTTTAATTCAACACATCGAGGGCTACGTACTGGCTATTTTCTAAAAGAAAACTTAAGGGTCAGAGCAGTTAAATAACACGCTCAAGGTCAAACAGCAACAGAACCAGGATGTGAATGCCTGCCTGACCTGTGTAAACCACACTGCTTCAATGTCTGGGCAGTCCTGAGGCAGGACTGGGCACTGAAACAGAGGGCAAGGGGGGAAATAACAGATTCTGGGGAGGTTCTTAAAGGTGGGCATTAAGATAACTAAGTAGATGGGTGAGAATTAGTGAAACTCTTTCCCTTGGATGCTTCTGGCGGCAAAACTTTGAGAACACGGGATTCAATTTGCTACTGGAAAATCTGTGTCCCTCCCCGCCCCACTTGTGGAGAATTGTGAGCTCAGAATGCTGACACATACCCAGCTGGTATCTGGAGAAGCAATCATCTTGTTGGAATGGCCAAGAACATTATTTTAAAACATACTTCCAATCTTTAAACACTCATAGGGGGAGGGGATATTTTCTGTGCAACTGTTAATATGTCCAGAATTAGAAATGGTCAAATGTGTTTCTACAGAGATTGCAGTATTCATGTCAACAACTCTCTCAACCAGTCCCTACAGACAATGACCCCTTTAAAGGCATCCCTCTCAAAACATGGGTAACAGTGTGGGTGCCTCCCAGAATAGCTGAAGGGACAGGGTACATGGCCGCCAAATGAAAAGCTTGGGGTCTGGAACAAGCTTGTTCCTCCTTTTGTGACATTTAGCAAATATACAGCTGCAGCTATCATCAGCTGTGCTGGAATATTCACTTTCCGTCCTCCAGGAGCCCCAGATACTCCTGGAAACGGCTTTCTCCTATTTTCCAAAGTGTTCTAGCATCCTAAGGAGGGAGGGAGGTGCCCAGCGAATTCTCACCAAGGGCGCAGAGGAATTCCGCGCTGGGTACCGGAAATCGGGCCGAATTAGCAGAGATTGGGAGGGCGCTGGGGAACGAGGCGGGGACGCAGAGGATGCGAGGAGGAGCCGCGGACACCCGGCCGCGGAGGAAAAAGCGGGTTCGGGCCCGCAGGCAGACAGTTCTCAAGCGCGCACCGGACGCCGCGGGGCCCGATCTTACCTCGCAGCCCGCGCACCAGCCTCTCGGCCCAGGCCACCCGGGGCGGCTGCCCGTCCAGCGGGAGGTGGCGATGCAGCGGGTCCCCGGCGCCCGCGGGGCTGGGACACGGCGCGCCCTGGTCCTCCAGCCGGCGCCGCCTCCCGCTCGGGTGACCCGGCCCGCGGTAGCCGCCCAGCCCCCGG